CCTCTCTAGGGACTGAGGTCCTGCCTGCTCCGTTATCTCGGCACACATTAACTCTCCCTGAGGTTTCTCCCATGTTCCCCTTTAAACTGTGGGGTTTTCTCCGGAAGTTTTTCCTTGTACGATGTGAGGGTCTAAGGACAGAGGGTGTCGTATTGTCATACTGATATTCTGTACAAACTGTGAAGTCCACTGAGACAAATGTAACATTTGTGATATTGGGCTATATAAATAAACATTGATTGATTGATGGTTTATTTGTGAAAATGGCTGTTATGTGGATTTTGGTAAATGTGAAAAAAAATTCTACAGAATGTTTTCCCAAATAAGGCATAACATACAAAACATGTGGAGGCAGCGGCCATTATAAAATCAGTTGGCATGGCAGCCTGTTTGATTTTAAACACTAAAACCCTTTGATTATCACATTATTGAAAACCTGGATAGACTGACTGACTCAGTCAATGTTTGGCACCCATACCAGGCGAAATAGTTTCAGCGTTTTTTCTGTTGTGATTTATGTCCCCAAAAGGGGGACAGAACTTACATAAAGAATACGCTACGGAGACCACCCGCCTCTGAAAATATACAGATGGATCGTCATTTACAGAAATGAGAGCTCAACAATTATTTTTAGCAACGGAGGAGGCATAATTGCAATTGGTCCCCAATAGATTATTGGTCCCTAATTGATTATTTATTCCTTTTCTGAGGACCAAGATGGCTGCATTGTGTCAGAAAGATCATGGCATAAGAGCTGCAAAAAATTCCAACCAGGCTTGTGGGCTAGCATAGCTATTTCGAGGATTATTTAAGCAATTGCTAAGGCTTGGTTAGGCCTCTGTTTGTGAGACCTTTGTATGTTTTGCAGCGTATTTTGAAACAGTGACTCCTGTCATCCATTCTCCTAACCTGGGCCTTACGCTTTGTGTCATGAGAGGAAAGCAATCAACTTGTACTCCCTTGGGTGCTTACAGTGGCTACACCCCATCAAACAAGCCATTTACTCCTGTACTTATAAACAGGATAACTTGTTGTACATCTGCTCTCTATAATTGAGGTCGAGGTCAAACAAAAATATCTCAGCAATCACTGGATGTATTGCCATAAACATTTGTTAAGATATCCATCATGGCTGGTGGATGAGTATTATTGAATTTGGTGAGCCCCAGACTTTACTCGTAGCATCGCAATGAGGTTAAAAGCTTTGGGTTTTTAAGTAAAATGTGCGTAAAAAATTAAAATGTTGGATTGGATGGATTTCCATGTTTGTACCATTGTTGATTTCGGCATGTATTTTAGATGTAGTCTTTAGCAAAGAGAGAGCGAGAGAGAGTAACAGAGAAAGATGGTTAGGTTAGAAAAGGTTAGAAAAATTAAGAGGGATTCCTCTAAAGTTTTCACTTTTGAATCTTGCCCTGTTTCATCATCAATATTGCATTTTAATATTGTTCTCGTTGTGTAAGAACATGAAAAGAAAATTACGTTTTTGGTTAAAAAAAAGATTTAATGTTAGCATTAAAGCATTTTTTATTGTAAGCATGTTAAATACATTTTAACATGCCTCAAACAGACTGACATTATCTTTGTTATAAATTTCAATGGAGCCAGTCACTCAGCACAGCAGGGTTAAATAAATGTAGGGTTTCTGGTGAAAGAATGCGTTGTTTGGCAAAAATGGTCAACCAGGCTCAGGCACTGTGTTTGCCAAATGAATATGTGCAAACTCACACTATCATCTGATAAGCTGATAAACCCATTGAACTTTATCTCAAGCTAGACCTCTTGGATCACATTTCCATGTCCCGTTAGTACCATGAACAGATTCCCCATCACGGTGTCCCCCTGCCCTGATGAAACCCAGCTGGTTTTGGTCTCATCCCTGCGTAGTCTTGTTCTGTGGTAGATGACAGTCCCTCCCATGTATAAAAATGACTGCAGTGTTACGTGTCACAGCAATGCTATTGTACAGTAGTCAGCTTGCTGACAGTAATCACAGTTTATGGAGTACATTTGCTAGAGGCTATCACTCACTTGGTACATAGGAAGTATAATGCTAAACTAAAGCTTGCCCTTATTTATTACTGTACGCACTTTTACTATTTTGAGTGCATAAGCGCATTCACACTGAGAAGTATGGCAAATTGCAGAGCACGATGAGTTTTGGATGGTGCACTTATTTCAGTCAAACAGTTTAATGTGGAATGCTTGACACTTTCACCCTCAACAGTAGCTTTCTTGGTTAAATCACTGAAGTTATTCAAGCAACAGCCGTGGTGGTTGCTCCAGTAAACAATGCACTTTACAAATAAACGTTTATGTTAGAATTAGTGGAAGTAGTAGAGGTGAGAGACAACACATCAAAACCTGTTTGTCCCCTGATTGTGTGTTTTTGGTGAAATCTGCTCCAACTCGTTCCACAAACATACTATGAAAAGCTATTTTGAAAAGTATAAATAATATAAGGTCTTACAGTGGCAATGAATCCATTCTGACCCTCACGCGTACAACCAAACACAGACACAGTTTGCACAGACAAACATGCTGACATAACAGCTGAGTTTTTACTTCCAATTTACCATTAATATGACTCATGTTTTAAATAGCCTGGATCTCATAAGGGGTCAAAATGTTTGCTCAAAGGTCAACTGTAATGTCTGTACTTCTATATGCTGCTTTTGCATGCTACATCTTATAGTGATGAGTTTTCTGATCCATGAGTTGTTCCTTGGTCTTCACACACAAAGACTTCCAGATGGTGCAGCAGCAGTTTCACACTCCCACCTGTAAGACTTTCTCTTTTCCTCAGTCAACACTCTAATCTAATACGCTACATTCAAAAGGACATGTGTTTCCTTTAAAAAAAACCTGAACAGCACTGTCAAGAGTCTTGCATCTTATTTTTCAGATCACACACTGAAGACGACTGCCGTTCATTTTGTATTTTTGCATAATTAACCACCAATTTTCTATGTGAAAATCTGCCACATTCATAGCTGTCGCAGTAGTATTACTAGGTGTTTCACCCACACCTGAAGGGCCGGAGGCTAGATGGTGATCTACTTTGGGGCTCTTAGGAGGGGACCTGGGGCTAGATCCTTATTTAAGGTGGAGTGGTGAAGCATCTATAGGAAATAGTGAAATGGCAGCTAAAAGCATAACAGAAGAGAACAGACTGATTACTGAATTTAACAAGATGATTGGTTCACTGATGTCAGGGTGAAAGCAGATAAGTTGAAGTAAAGAAGTAAAAAAACAAGCTAAACCCCATGACAGCCAGTTGGTTTGACGTTGCAGGATGTTTATAAAAAGAAAGAAAGCTCTACCGGAGTAGAGTATTGCCGTATGCAACAACATAATTATAGTATTAAAGGTCCCATGACATGGCCATTTCTACTGATCATATTTCCATTGTTGAGGTCTACTAGAATAGATTTCAATTGTGCAATTTTCCAAACCCACATTGGTTTCTCATACAGCATCTCTGCATAGTATGTGTATTCACTCTCTGTCCTAAAGGCTTGTTGGAGCTCCTGCCCCCCCCCTCCTTGTGAGCCCAGTGTGCTCTGATTGGTCGGCTCGTTGCGAGGCTCGTTGCTGCTGCGAACTGCTGCGAGGAGCGGACAGGCTTCCGGGTCGGCGATACAAAGAGACACAGCTAAACTTATCCTGAGCACACACAAACACTCACAGCCGAAGTAAAAACAATAAGTGTGGCTTGATATTGAGTAAGAAAAAGGTTTATAACGCTGTGAGAATGGATCTGCGGTGAGCATTTCTCCACGATCCCAACTCGTCTATTACCAGCGTTCAGGGAGCTCTATGCAAGTCAATGGGGACTCCCTGTTAGTTAGCCAAGGGATTCTGGTGTGTGAGTTGCTCCACGGATTGGACCATTTAGGCCAATCCGGTCATTTGTTGTTGATTTGGGTGTTCACACGTCACAAAACCCAGGAAGCAAACAATGGAAAATGAGAAATGTCCAACGAGGCGTTCTGGGGCAGCATAGACAGGTCTTTTCTGTGTTAGAGTTTTACTCCCTACAAGGGTGTACTTTGAGGGTTTTGACTCTGCAGACTGTTTACATGCAGAAAAACCTTCATAACACACAAGGGGACGGGTAATAACCGGAAAAGCATGACATGGGCCCTTTAATAAAGAATGTCAGGCAATTTTCAAAATATTCTAGTTTGACTGAATTGGTGGTTGATTTAATCGCACTGGAAGTTTGACACATGTCTGTGGTTTACCAGGATGTTTTAACATAACGTAAATTATAAAGTGCAAAAAAAATAGTCTTCAGTGGAAACAGAAGATAATTAGTCATATAATAATAGATAACTAGATAATAGTTCAAATGCGAAGCCGTTGCTTGAAAAACAAGCAACCTCTTGCTAATAATGTCCAGAAAAACGAAAAGGCAACGTCTGAATGATCATATGACCTCTGTTGAGGATCAGTAGTAAAGGCAGTACAATAATATGACATCGTTAACACCTTTAAGAAGAGGTTGTGGTATTTGCTGTCAATGTTTTATTACCTTATTACTACTAGACTTCAGAGGTACCGGGAGATATGTTTACCCAAGAATGGTAATGTCAGTTGGTTGGTCCTCCACTTTGGTCCAGACTGAAATATCTCAACAGATCATTGGATGGATTTGCTGTCCAAATGTCATTCTCCTGGTTGAGATTAAAAATGATATATCTCAGGGAATACTTTTTGTAAATGAATAGAATAAAACCCAAATTATTACCTATAATTCCTGGCAATAAAGTGTTCAGGAAAATGTTGATATGACACGAGACCATAGACGTTTATATTGTGGTATTGTCCTTAGTTTTAAAACTGTTACACCTGTAGTACTTTAACTGTATTATTTTGTATACACATGGTTGGGACATCCCTGAAGGGCAATGTGAAAAGAGTATAAAATGACTGGTAATGCAGTTCATCTCATTATTTGTTCTGGTTTCCGTAGGCCTGTTTCTGCTATCGCCTGTTATGATGGCCCCAACACCAGCCAGCATGTGCACAGCCTTGAAGACACTCAACGGTAGCCTCAGCAACAGGCGGCGGTACATGGTGAGAGAGTGATGACACATTTGCAAGCATGTCTCAGTCAATATGGAGGCAAGCTAGCTAATTTCACCCCCAAATAAACACATGATTTGGTTCATTCTAGAGGTAATCTTTTTCTACTTCTAATTTGAGGTTCTTTTGTATGTCCCCAGACAAAAAGTTAACAATAATTAATGATAATGTTAACGATTACGCATTTTCCACAAAAAGGGAAACCTTGGTTTTCTGTATCAATTAACCTTAAAAGGGGCACTTCAGAAACATTGGGCTCATGCAAGAGACACATTTCTAAAGTATGGGTTGCAGAGATAGCTTTAGTTTTAATCCTTCCATACAGGTTCCAAAAACACTTGTATCTTTAATTCCCATAATGCAACTCGAAAGTATATTTTGTATACCTACTCTGACTTGTAAATGGCCATGTCTTAAAAATAATTCTTTGCACAGGTCTCTTTTTAGAAATGAAGTCAAAGCCAAAATTAATCATAACCAAAGGACATCAGTATGATTTACCTTGACAAAGGTCGGATAGAGCAGCAAAGCACATTATAGAACTGTTATCACAAGCTGAAAAGTACTCCAAGTTACAAATAAACCGGTGTGTAGCTTTGGTTGAGCTACCCTTAATCGTCATTCTAAGTTTATGACTGCCCTTACGACAATTGGACCACTAAATGAATCAGGACTGTCACTTTATCCATCATGCACAATATCTTGGATGCTGTCTGACATACTTTTAGCAACATTCTCATTAATGATTTTCCACCACAAACCACAAGTTTATATGTGTAAATCTGCTAACTCCAAACATAAATGTAACAACCAAATTCCTGAAAGACAAACAAAGTTTACATCTCTCTGATTGATGAAAGACACATGCTAATGAATCTTTCCTTTTCCATGTATTACAGAAGCACAACTTCCCCATCAACTACACCATCAGGGTCCATTATGAGGAAGTCTTCAAACTGTCAAACATTAACAGAATGGTAAAAGTCACAATTCTTGTTCTTGATTCCGTGACTTATTTGATTTTCCTGCCAGAGGACTTGGCTCAGGAGATTCCTCAGATGATGCTTCCCATGTGAGCCAACATATCAACCTACTCGGTTTTTTCAAGGCTTTATCCATTCTCTCCCGCTGTCCCAACTAAATATTTTGCCCTAAATCTTTTCTAAGAAAATAAAATTAACTTAAAATGCCACTAAGATGTATTTGTTTGCTCCCGTAAAGTAGTTTGTTGAACATTAACTGTTCCATCTAGAGACATTAAGTATTTCGAATAAAGATCAGCAGCCAATAAAAGGGGAATAAGAAGAAATACAAAAAAAATACTACACTTATCTATAAGACCTTTTGTGTTTTATATATTGCGCTTGCAGGAATTTACACTTCACTTTCAACCTGGCATGTGATTTTGACTTCCCTATATGTGTCCAAAAATCTCCTTAACTGAAACATGTGTATGTTCCTGTAAGTGTCTGACCTTGACTGTGCTGACTTGATAGTTGTTTTCACATTACTCTTCTGAAAGGGGAGACATATAGGGGAGACTGAAGGGCGAGATATATCAACACTTATTGCCGTTAAGCTTTTTGCATTTCTCCTGTAAGAAACGACTTATTACTAACTAATTACAATTCAGTGTATCATCAAAATTATTTTGGATTATGTTCAGTTAAAATGGTTACATAATTATGTTTAACATGATTCTTACACTTCTCTCCTCTGCTGGTCCATCAGAGGTTACATGTGGAGAGATTGGATGAGCTAGTTCTCCAGAGATTGTGGTTCCAGGTCAACCGAGGCGTTTTAAAAAAGGTAGGAATATTATCTCCTTAAAGATGCAATTTGTTAAATTTGTCCAAAACCCATGATCATACCATATGCAATTATGTGGTAATGAATGTGTGTAACACAAAGCATGTGTTATCAGTGATAGAGCTTCTTTTGTTTGACTCCTTCTTTGATCAGCTGTGATGGAAACCTTCATGTTTGCTCATTTGGGAGGGAAAGGTGTTTTAGTCGATTTTGGCCCTGCAGCTCTCAAAATGCAGTTTGCCCTTTTTTGATCACTTTTTTGATGAGCCCAATATGTGAGGGGGTTGCCTGCAGTAGGCCAGCTTCCTCCTTAAGTTCTGGGAGGGGCCCAAGGCAATGACACAATGACACCATAGACTGTATGAATGACACCCATGAGAAAAAAGTCACCAAAAAAAAAACACAACACAAAAAAAGCAAATACAGGACGCATTTTGTATAACTCACATTATGGCAATGATTTGGAAGCTACACATCTCTTTATTGCCAACTTTTCCATTTCAAACAACGTTTTAGAATTGAGAAGACAGTTGATTCCGATGTATTCTGCCTTTAAGTTTATTGTCTTAAAATAAACACGTTTATATTTTTCTCAGATCATCCGGGTTATGCCAGGGAGACATCCTTCACGTCAATACACCACTGAGTTGGAAAGGCGCTTCAGGGATGCGGAAGGCGTATTTGTACAGTCACATCCGGCTGAGGTAAGCCAAAGTTCATGAATGTGTACCGCAGCTGTATCTCTTCAAACTAAGCAATTAAGTCAGTAAGTGAATTTCTCTCAGACTGTCAGATATTTGACAGGAGATAAGTTGTCACATTGATCCTATTCATAGCCGTGGGAACATGTTTCAAATGGGGGGTGCTGTGGGGATGACACCAGGGCCGGTTTTGACCAATTTGGCCCTAGGAAAGATTTTAGCTGGCAATGAAAAACCTCTACAAAAGACCAATACACTACAAACAGAGAAACGTATTGATATGGTGGACAGCTTATAGAAAAAGGCTTCAAATGTATTTAGTATTGCATGAACATGTTTTAATTGGTGGGTGGACGTCACATCCTCTAGGGGGGTCCGNCCCCTGTCATACACCAGCCCTGCAGAGACGGAAAGACAGAGTAGTGAGGAGTAAAAGGGGCAAACCACAAGTAAAACACAACAACAAAAAACCCCAAGCAAAACTGCTTGGGGTTTTTTGTTGTTGTGTTTTACTTGTGGTTTGCCCCTTTTACTCCTCACTACTCTGTCTTTCCGTCTCTGCAGGGCTGGTGTATGACAGGGGGGCGTGGCTGGTTTACTCCTGGCTGCAGATGAGGCACACCTGTCCTCACTCACATGATCAACCTGCTCTTTAAGAGCCTGGCCCTCACCTCACTTCTCTGCCAGAGAATGACATGCTGTTCCGCGGTCCGGAGTGCCTTTCTGCAGCCTGGAGTCTGTTGTTGTTTCACTTCGCAGTTTGTTTAGGAGTTCTTTTTGAGTTTTTGTCGGAAACGTTTTCCCGCAGCTTCGTTTTTGTACTTACTACGGCCAGCCAGCTCCCTGTCGTCTGTACCTGCCTTAGACTACCTTTGTTTATTAAACACGTTGAAACTTTATTTTTGTCAGTGTCTGCTTGGGGTCCAAGTAGTATCCAAACGTCACACTGTATGCAGCAGTTTTCATTGTCATTGTGTCTGTGCTTGATCCCTCAGAGTCGCAGAGCTGCACAGTTATTAATAAAGGCAGCTGCACCCTCTTTCATTCAGCATTCCCATTATTGCTTTATAAATGTCTTGCCCCCTTGTGTGTCCACTGAGGTTCGTCAGGTCCAACACATCTTCAATACACTCCCCCTTTGCCTCATCATAAAATCTCACAAACACCAGCAACTGAGCATTGTCAGTGGTGTCAGTGGACTCATCCACAGCTAAGGAAATGAACTGTGCATTTTTTATTCCATCACAAAGCTGATTAATCAAATCACCAGCCAGTGTTTATGTTCTTCTGGTTGCTGTGGAATCTGAGAGGGGGATTTGCTTGATTTGACCTGTTATTTCCTTTTTTTGTTTGCCTTCAAACATGGTCTCCATCACTTCAGTCATGCATTATTTTATACTGCAGCTATTATCCAGTGGAATGCCCTTACCTAGTAGCCTAGTTCAATCAAAGTGGTTACTTTGTTTTGGCTGGGCAGTGTAGTTTTACACACCGTCTTATTTGACTTTCTCAGGACTTAAAACTGTTTTTTGGGGGCAGACCCCCTCAAAGAAAAATATATATTTACACACGTAAAGTCATCATCTTAACAGTTTTGTATGCTCATCCGTGAGCAGAGCATCAAGTTGACATGTCTATTACAGCTGAATGCGGCGAT